AAAAAAAAAAAAAAAAAAATAACACAATAATTTTCGCCTTAGGCTAGCTCTCGCTCGCTCTCTATCTCCTGCTCATGTTAACTTTTGGTTTGTGTTTTTTTTTTTTTTTAACTTTTAGTTTAATATTGTTTTTTATTAATAATATAACCAAAACATAWTCGTCTTAACAGTTTTCAGTCTAGTAAGCGTTAAATATTTCATCTAATTAGCACTTAACACAATTTTGACAATATCTAGTTAATATAAACATACATATATAGCCCATATTATCATAATGTTATTTTTTTCGCTTTACTTACTAATCAAATACATCATCTTCATCTTGCATAAGTAACACATAAATATCTAAATTATTGAAGCGTTTTTATGGATTCATATCGATTTATCATGCAGACAACCCTAAAGTTCCTACAGTTAAATGCGCTCATCTTTTGTTATTAATTTTTAAATTTTGCTTTAATTTTGTTTGTTTTTAATATGTGTTATAAATAAAACTTAAATTTTGTTTAGTAAATAAATGATATGGAATTATAGTGAAACATTTACTAATAATATTTTTACTCTCTGCTCTTTTTTTCTCTTTCTTCCTCAAAAAAAAAAAAAAAAAACTAACGAATTGCCGGCAATTACTAAATTTGTTGTATAAAACTATTAATGACTAATGACTGATGGTTAATTACTAATAACCAATGACTAATGACTAATGACTAATGACTAATGATTAATGACTAATGATTAATGACTAATGACTAATGACTAATGACTAATGACTAATGACTAATGTCTAATGACTAATGACTAATGACTAATGACTAATGACTTATGAATTGTGAATACCGATGATTGGTAATAAACAGGCAACTATTCGCGCTTAGCCTGCGAAATACAGTTCGTGCGCTCGATGGGCTATTATCTTATACAAATCTACATACCCTCTGGACTGATCGTTATTATATCATGGGTATCATTTTGGCTCAATCGCAATGCAACGCCGGCGCGTGTGGCGCTCGGTGTGACAACCGTGTTGACAATGACAACGTTGATGTCGTCAACAAATGCGGCGCTGCCAAAGATTTCGTACGTCAAATCGATTGACGTCTATCTGGGAACATGCTTCGTTATGGTCTTTGCCAGTCTACTGGGTAAACAAAATCTAGCGACAAAAATATAAACCTCAACCAAAAAACTAACATTTACCAAAAAACAACAACACATTCCAATTCCAAGTAGCCAACATAGAGCACCACACACACATAAGCATCTAGTACGAAACACAGACACACATATATATACCCTACATTTATGTGTGTTGCTTTATTTATCCAATTTAACAATTTCTCATTTTATTATTTAATTTTTCCTTGGCTAAAGGCTCCCGAACAAGCCGAAATGCCAATCTACCTCTTTAAAAAAAAAGAAAAGAAAAAACACTTCGCTTAGCGTTTTGCAGCATATAAAAAATACCACAACTACAAATACACTTTCTTTCAACAGTCTTTTAATTTTTTACAGCAAAAAAAAACACACACACACAGACAATCAAAAAAATTCAAGTGAACTTTAAAGAATATTTTTTACTTGAATTTTTTAACTTTTTTGCGTAGTTTTAAACTCTATATTCATTTAAAAAAAAAAAAAAAAAAAAAAAAAAAAAAAAAAAAACACAAAGAAATCAATGAATTTTTAATGTGCTTGAACTATAGTTAACAAAATTTCAATGTCTATGTATATACCAAATTTCCATCAAATTTTCGAAAAAATATATTTCAAGCACTTGTACTACAGTCCAGTCCAATGCTCTAACTTTAACTTTCTCTCTTAAAATCCTAACATCTTAAGCAACAACTCACACTTTTACCTACAAAAAAAACTCTCAACTCCGGTCAACAATGAAAAAAAGAAAACTAAAAAAAAGAAAAGAAAAAATCTCTTTTTTCGTATTTGTATGTTATTGTTAATTTTTCTTTACAAAGAAACAATGCAACTATCATCCAAAGAAAATGTATGCAAATTCATAGATATGCGCTACCTGAACAGTAGGGGCCACAAAATTTCCAAGCGAAAAGTTTTGCACACACACACGTACACACACCCACACACTCAAAGACATACATGCACTCAATACAGTTAGTTAACACACCTGCAGAGCTTTTAGTAACTCAAAGCAAAAACCCAACTGAAATCGAAGCATGCTTCTGCAAAAAAATTAAAAGTTTATATGCCAAAAACCAATTATTTTAGCTTTAGCTTTACTCGTACTTGTACTCTCGTAGACGCCTCCAGGTTGACATTGTGTTCCACAAAAAAGAAAAAATTTCCAAAAAACGACCAAAGCTTAAAATGAAAGTCATTTTTCATCATGATAACTGCATAGAGAATGCACATGAACGAACACATTTCAACCTGCAATGGTACCCAGATATTAATATACGCCCAGCTTCCACTCAAAAAAAATATGTATAATAAAACGCAAAGCCTACGAAACAGCCTACAACTAAAGCTACTCAACATACTACATACTATATAATGAAATTTAAAAAAGAAAACTGAAAAAACGCCATGAATTCAAAAGAATAATAACAAAAGAACTCCAGCCCAGGGGTACGAGCTAAAAACCGAGCGCATAAAAATGATAACAGCATGCCTTGCGTCACACCTGGCTTGAGTCGCGATTGAATTGAATATAATATAATATATATAGAAAGAAAAAAAAATCACAACACTGTATATAGACCTCAAAAAAGAAGAAGAATGTCCACGCCTAGCTGAAGATCTAAGAATCATACCTCAACAAAAGATATATATAATCATAGATATATTCAAGCATTTGGTTTGTCAAGTCTGAGGCATTTGAATGTATGTCGCAGACATGACAATCGCAAATGCTAATGCCAAAGCAATAAATATCTAAATATAAAAAATTTGAGGTTAGGTAAGATATGTTAGCTGTTCTCTATCCCATATGCATATATATATTACAGCAAAGGCGCTCTGGAACTGGGTAAGTAAACTTGTTTCGTTTAAATGTTCTTTGAAACTATATACTCTAATTCCTCAAAAAGTAAAGAAAAATATAAATATATACCCTATTCCAAAATTAAAGTACATAGAACTTACAGTGTGAGTGGATCTCATATTGGATCCCTGCATGCCCTCTCTATTTAAGAAGTCTCATAACCATACACTATATATGACATAAAACGAAAAGCTGGAAATTGTGTGTGTATGTGTGTACATTCCATATATGTAATACACATATATAAGGATGTGACCCTCCAACCCGCCCACCGATAACCCCTACCAGAGGCGATTGTTCAATGAATTTGCATTTGAGGCACGCACATCAACATTTTCCTTGAATGATGGTTTCTCAGACTGCAGATATAAAAAATTTTATACATAAATCATTTGGCTAACAAATTAACCTGTATTTTATATATATATGATAACATATATATATATATATATTCGTTCACTCATTTCAACACAACAACAACAACAATAACAGCCACAACAACAATTACAAATACAACAACAGCAACAAATAACATTTGCAGCAGACAGACAGAGATACTGACAAAACACACACACATACACATACACACGCATACAAACTCACATCACTCTCACAAACTCACACACACGTTTAGCCGTTACACCTTTATTGCTCTCTATCTATCTTACTCTTTCTCTATTTACCTCTCACACACACTCTACACTTGCTTTACTCACAACTTTTTTTTGTTGCTTGGCTAAAGTACAGAATATGAAATTTATTCAGTTTTTATTTCACTACCAACTACAACAATAACAACAACCACACATACAAGTGACGTTGCTTATTTATACCCTGTACCTTGGAAAATTGAGGAAAATTAGCAAAGGAAAAATGTCACTTGGCCTACCTTAAGCGAAATCCATCCTGCATAAGTGAAAAGTGAATTACAGTTCTTATAAGATATTTCTTATAGAACATATGCAGATATTACAGTTCTTATAAGATATTTCTTATTTAACATATACAGATATATATGGCGATTTTTTTCCCCCTTTCTTTCTAGTTCTTAGACTCGATTTGTGCATAGGCATATTGCCAAATGCTATATACTCGTCATACTCCTATACAGAAATATTGAACATATTGTACAACTTCTTCTATATCACTTAAGCTATATAGAATATACTATTTTCTATAAATATTCTATATCTGTATCGAAATCCTAATAATATACACAGCATTCAGAATCAAATGATCAAATGATTTTCACCTATAGGGGAATCAAATCCAATTCATATACAATACTTCTTTAACATTCCTTTACCCATTTATACATATGGAATTACTATTTAGAGCTTATGTAAACTCTTTGCAATTATTTTCCATCATTTATGCCAAGTATAACAGTTTAACATTCCGGTACAGGGTATCCATCAGTCGAGCATTCTCGTCTGCCTTTTTTACCCGTAGTGCTTTTACCCCGTAACCCCAACACTTTTCCACTTTTGATTTAATATGCCAACCCGAAGACAAATTCATGTACATATATTAACATATATCCAAATTTTTATAACTCACAAATTTCTTATTTTCCTATTAATCTTTCTTCACATATACATATATATATATATGCATATACGTATATAATTGCATAACTATTTGTGCACACACATATGTATATTTGTATATGTGTATATCTATATGTGCTTTTGCGTACATATATAAATGAATGCCAAACAAAAAAATTAATATTTTACAACAACGCTCCATTTTCCCTCCATTTACCGTTCCAAAAACCGTACTTCAAAATTACCAAAACTGTGCAACAACAATCCAACTATTTGACAACAACTACAACTACAACAACAACAACTACAACAACAACCACCACCAACAATAACAACAACAACAACAATTATTCAACATCATCAAAAATCTCATCTGGAACGCGGACTTGATTCAAAATTTTACTATGCATCCGCATCAAAATCCCCAACAACAACAACATTTCCTCCCCACACACCACGTACCGCCCGCAACCGACCGCTCTGAACCATTATCAAAATTCTTAATCGCAATCAATTCTCTAAAACAAAAAACTGACTCAATTCGAAACTGTATCCACTATCCAATATATATCATATCGCAATCGTAGAATACGCCACCGTCGGCTATATGGCAAAACGAATTCAAATGCGAAAACAAAGATTTATGGCGATCCAAAAGATAGCTGAGCAGAAAAAGCAACAATTAGATGGTGTGCAGCAGCAGGCCAATCCGAATCCGAATGTCGGAGGCGGACCCGGTCCTGAGCATGGACATGGGCATGGTCATCATGCCCACAGCCATGGTCATCCGCATGCGCCCAAACAAACAGTGAGTAACCGCCCAATCGGCTTTACAAATATCCAACAAAACGTTGGTACGCGCGGTTGCTCGATAGTGGGACCCTTGTTCCAGGAGGTGAGATTCAAGGTCCACGACCCCAAGGCACACTCCAAGGGCGGCACTCTGGAGAATACGGTGAATGGTGGCCGAGGTGGCCCCCAGCCCCATGGACCCGGCCCGGTACCCGGCGGTCCAGGCGGACCCGGCGGCGGTGGTGGCGGAGGCGGCGGCGGCGGTGGAGGTGGCGGACCTCCAGATGCTGGCGGCGACCCGGAGGCGGCCGTACCAGCACATCTATTACATCCGGGCAAAGTAAAAAAGGTGAAAATCCCAAATTTTAAATATTTAAATATGATCATAGCCAGTATATCATATATTTTTTAATGAGCATCCATAAAGTTGAAAAGTAAAAGCATGCGAAAATCATAGCATGGCTTAAATGCCCTTTCCTCTGTCTTGTTGTATATTTATAATTCACATTCTTATATATAATGTATAATATTAATAAATTGTATATTATTTCCTCACAGGATATCAACAAACTGTTAGGCATTACGCCTTCGGATATTGACAAATATTCGCGCATTGTGTTTCCCGTGTGCTTTGTTTGCTTCAATCTGATGTACTGGATTATCTACCTGCACGTTAGCGACGTCGTTGCCGATGATCTTGTCCTGCTCGGCGAGGAATAAGCGGCCATGCCCCCTAAGGGTGGCGCGGAGCCGGAAACGGAGCCTGGCCGGAGGCAACAAGTGAGACAACAGCGCACGAGAGAGTTAAACTGTGCAACGCGCTGAAAAATAAAGTTAAAAAAAATCATTAACCAAAAGTAATTTTAACTAGAGATATGGAAAAAGCAAAAGGCAACATATTATTGTTAAATACTAATAAAAATAATAATGATAAAAAAAAGAAAAGTAAACCAAAATGGATGAAAAAAACACACATATTATGGACGAGAGCAAAGAATATTGTTAAATAGATTTACGCAATTAAAAAAAATAAAATAAAATAAATATATA